TTCTCTTGAGCTACGTGCCAGCTATAACGCCAGCTATAACGTGAAACATTTGTATTCCACCCTTTGAATCTCATCTATCGTGATTGGTCAGCTATAATCCTGTAATAACTACTGCAACTGCCTACATTTAACCCTCGCCGGACCTATTGGTTTTATACATACGCGCCAGCCGAGGGGGGGGGGGGCGGGTACGACCCCCCCCTCGCCGTTTCGCCCCTGGTGGAGCTAGCGCGTCGCGGAAAAAAACGAGCGTGTGCACCGTTACGAGACGCAGAGATTGGTACCCGATTTTAAGGTCCTAGGTCAACCGGTGACCTCTGAGGTCAGGTCAAGTGCCCCAGGGTACGGTTCAGTTTTTGGTGAATAACTTCGCAAAAAACGGCCGCAGAGCCGCGATTTTGGCAGCATCGTGTTCGCCTCGCTCAGGCGCGTCGAATGATGTACTTTTTGTTCGGGTCAGGTCAACTTGGGCTGTTGACCTCAGGTCAAGGTCAGGTCAGCACCCTAAGGTCATGAAGTAGGTCGAAAGAGGTCATGTCGCATATCATTCGATTCGGCAGGTCTTCCTGAGTCCATTGGTGGCTTTCCCGACTCGCTAGCTCAATTTGATCAAGAGTTATGGACGAAAAACGAATATGACCTTGATGACGTCATAAATGACGTCACGCAAGGCCAACATTGCAAAAGTGACGCATCTAACCTTGCAAGGAGTGCATCAAATCACGATTCTGTGTGCTTGAGATAGTTGGAGATCGTTCCCGGCGCCAGAATAGCAGTTTGAATTTTTCCCCATTGACTTATAATGGTGAGGTCACGAAAATGACCTGACCTCATATGACCTTTAGGAAAAATCCGAGATATACAAAGTGTGAGACTCATAATGGATACTAGATCCTGCAAGTTTCATTTCCCTGTGACATCTCCTCTGGCAGTGAGGGCGTTGCGAAGTTGCGACATCTGAAGACCGTGCAGAGGTTCACTTATGACGTCATAGGTCAGTGACCTGACCTGACCCAAAAATGCGGTTGGTGTCAAAAGATCCGGCTTGGATCAAAGGTCAGGTATGCCAAGTTTCAGCTCTCTATCGCCAGCGTGTTTGGAGCTATCGCGAAAAAACCCTATGGGGGGGGCGGCACCCGCCCCCCCCCCCTCGGCCGGCGAGGGTTAATGCGAGTTTCTCGTTTTTCCTCTCAATGATCGATAGATAACCGGCCACAGGTTTGTGTCATAATCATCCGATCAAACAACTGACTCAAGCTCATTTCCCGGTCTCGGGATTCCTTTGAAGATGCGCAGCTGTGGACAGTCTCTGGATTACACACAATCTCTGTTACGGCAACGCACAACATAATTAAACTGGGGCTTCGCATAAATATTCATTATGCCATTGTCGCTGCTCAAAGCGACGCTACCGTCGACAAGCTTGGCAGGCATCTGCTGGCTGCTTCTTGACGGCTCCCTGGGAGGTGAAACTTGGTGCCGTCTGTGCATAGAAAACAGTGAGAAGCCAGCCGACAGTGTAACAGTTGTGCTGACATTCTCTGTGGCGGCACGTGTGGCGATTTTCCATCGTGGTACCGAAACGGATTCTGAACAGGTGGTTCTGGCGTGGCTGTCTTTATCCCTTTCATTTATCACAGGCTCAGAGATATTAGTTGGTAGACTGGAGTCAGAGAACAGTGCCATGTAACTGCTGAAGGTGATAGAACTATAACCACTTTCGTTTGCTACTCGATTATTGGGTGAAATTGTTTGAGTTGTTGTTGATTAGGGCATTGTTGACTTGGTGATGTGCCAAGGCTTTGGCAAGCATCTTATTGGTGGTTTCTAAAGCTCTGTTTGCTTTGTCATTTCTTGGCATAAACCTTGCCGATAAGGCACATAATAGTCATTAATTATCCATTTTAATTGAATTTAATCTGTGATTACCATCGAAGAGACATTAATGTCTCCCGTTTTCTGCAATTTTATTACAATCATTGATATATCAAATCCCCACGAAACCACAACGGACGCCAGCAGAAACATTAACCCGCGCCCCGTAGGGCTACCGGCGGACCCTACCACCCGTAGGGGGGGGGGCCGTTTCGGCCCCCCCCCTAAGATCTCGGAAAGTTACCGGCCGATTTTCAAAATTCAAACGGCGTTCGATAGCCCCACCCGGGAACTACCTTTTGACCAAATTTCATTGACCTAGGTCAAACCGATGACGTCACAGGTCAGGTCAAAGGTCAGATTTCCACCGTTCACAGGCATTTCAAAAATGTGTTGTGAAATCGAGTTAATTGGTAATTTATTGAAAACCATCGATGGTGCATTGTTCGTCAAACACATACTTTGCTATCTGAGGTCACTGATACCAGGTCAGGTCACAGCGAGGTCAGGTCACCGGGGTCACAATATGAAAGTGTCGTGTGATACATGTTTTATGGTCCATTTTACATGACAAATGCGATTATGTGGGTTAGGCAGCCTTTGGGGCCAGCCTAGGTCACGTTTTGGTGAAGGTCAGGTCAAGGTCAGGTCAAATAAGGTCAAATTTCAAAGTTGATATTTTTGCATAAAATGGGTATCGATTCGATGCAGCTCGTCACGGGGAGTCTAATGGTGGTCTTTGTTTTGCTCTACGAGGTCTAGAACTCCCAAAAATTGAGTTTGAAAATTTGACGTCATCAATTTTGAACAGTTTTTTCGCTATAACTTGGCCAAAAAACGAGGTATCGATCTGAAATTCGGTATGTAGATAGAAGACGGTAAAGGCTATCACATATATTCCGGTTTTTTTGAAACTCAAAAAACTTTTTGGATTTTTTGGCTAATATATCCAAAAAAATGTTTTTTTGATTTTTGGGGTTCAAAACTAAAAAATTTCAAAAATCCGAGATAGCAGTTTTGTAGCCCTGTCAATTCTACATCTTTTATTTCTTGATCATTTTTCTGTATCTTCAAAGCTGTAGGCCTGACAGGTCTTCTCGCGAAGGTCTTTTTTCGGTCGAAAATGACAGAACATGACGTCATTCTGACGTCATTTGTGGCCAACCTATCATAGCCTCTGGAAAAATTTTTGGTCACAATGTGTAAAATTGATGCCCGGAGGGGTCTTGAAAGTTTGGTGGCGATATCTGAAGCGGTTTAGGAGATATCGACCGAAAAGGACAGGGAGGGGCCGTTTCGGCCCCCCCCCTACGGGGCGCGGGTTAAGTCATAACCACCAAGGTCAAATCTTGTCCTGTTATCTACCTTTTCATTTGACACGCTTCCCTTTCACTAGACTCATTCAGGGGCGGATCCAGGAAAACTCCAAGGGGAGGGTCATGAATCGAAGTGGTGCCCCTACCTATACCCAAAATTAAAAACTCAACGGATTTCGTCCACTTCATTTTGGTGGTGCCCCCATTTTCAGTTTTTTTATTTTTATTTTTTTTTTATTTTTAGTCAGTATCTTAACTCTTAGCCACAACCACATTTACCAATTGTAAGCAAGTATATATGAATGTGCTATGTGTATATGTATATGTTGTGGACGCTGAGTAGTGAGTACTTACCAGGAACGTTATCAGGTAAGCAAATCGTTGTCAGTCCGACGAACTTGACACTGGCGTCTAAAGGGTCTGTCCTTGACACTTCAGGCTTGTCAGGGGCACCAAAGTCCTTCCAGGGACACCACAAACCTGTCAGGGGCACCTACGGCCTTGTAGGGGCGCCACAGGCCCGCCAGGAAGCAGGGGCACCACAGGCCTAGCAAGGACACTACAGGCCTGTCAGGGGCACAACGGGCCTGTTGGGCCCATGAGCACCCCTAGGGGCAGGGGCACCACAGTCCTTCCAGGGGCACCGCAGGCCTGTGAGGGGCACCAGCGGCCTAGCAGGGGCACCACTGGTCTATCAGGGGCACCACGAGCCTGTCATAGCCAGGCATCTCAGGCTTGTCAAGGCCCAGGGGCACCACAGGTCTGTGAGGGGCACCAGCGACCTAGCAGGGGCACCAGTCAACACAGGTCTGCCAGGGGCGCCACAGACCTGCCAGGGGCACCACAGGCCTGCCAGGGGCACCAGAGGGCTGCCAGGGGCACCACCGGCCTTGCAGGGGCACCTTGGGCCTGTCAGGGGCACCACGGGCCTGCCGAGGGGCACTTCAGACTTTTCAGGGGCACCAGTCCTCTCCGGGCGCAGGGGCACCAGAGGCCTGCCAGGGGCACCAGCGGCCTAGCAAGGGCACCAGAGGCCTGCCAGGGGCACCACAGGCCTAACAAGGGCACCACGGGCCTGTCAGGGGCACCTCAGGCTTGTCAGGGCCCTGGGACACCACAGTCCTTCCAAGGGCACCGCAAGCCTGTCAGGGGCACCAGAGGCCTGCCAGGGGCACCACAGGCCTAGCAAGGGCACCACTGGCCTGTCAGGGGCACCTCAGGCTTGTCAGGGCCCAGGGGCACCACAGTCCTTCCAGGGGCATTACAAGCCTGTCAGGGGCACCAGAGGCCTAGCAAGGGCACCACAGGCCTACCATGGACACCACAGGCCTGCCAGGGGCACCACCGGCCTTGCAGGGGCGCCTCAGGCCTGTCAGGGGCACCACGTGCCTGCCGGGGACACTTCAGGCTTGTCAGGGGCGTTACAGTCCTGTCAGGGCCCAGGGGCACCAGGCCCGTGGTGTCCCTGCTAGGCCTGTGGTGCCCCTGGCGGTCCTGTGGTGCCCCTGTCAGGACTGTGATACCCCTGATAGGCCGGTGGTGCCCCTGGCAGGTCTTTGGGCCCCCGGGCCTCAAGGGGGGGGCCATGACCCATGTGACCCCCCCCCTTGGATCCGCCCCTGGACTCCTTAGCTCTCGCAGCTGACTACCAAGATCCTATAAAGAGCGAGAGCCGACTACTGAGTTGCCTATGCAAGAACGGAAATGTCTCTTCTCTTATCTGCTTTCTGCTCTGCTCTCTGACTGATTTTTTTTTCAAGATCATGTCCTATTCTCTTGGGCGCTCTCTGATCTATTTTCTGTTCCCAGGAGCGGCAGGGCTGCGGCCCGCCGCTGCACTCGACCGCTCCATCCAACGGTCTGAAGCGCTCCAAGCCTGTGAACGTGCCGAAGCCCATGCCGTCGCTGGCTGAGCGGGAGGTCATCATCGAAAGTCGATCTGAAGGGCGCCAGATGAAGCAGAGTGTACCGCCGCCGCCCCCGCCACCCCCGGTACGTTATCGTCTGCATGGGTGTGTAAATTTAAGGGGAAAGTGTGAGTGGATGATGTATGATTGCCTTGAGGTGCCTGTGTCATTTGTACAAAGGGACACGCATGGGTTATGCATGGGTACACACATGTTCAAAGTCAATCATTTGTTATTCCGCATTATGCGATGTGTCGCCTTTGCAATAAGATAGTGGAAGTGGGGCATTGTAACGGCTGCCCATTTGCAACAAACTCAAAATATTAGCTGTGTCAAAGCCGACAATGCACACCCGTCTGATTTTTATTTTGTTCTTCGTCCATTATCTGTCCTCCCTTCAAAATACCTGTCCGACGTATATCGCCACCACCGCCGCCGCTGCCCAGTGCCCAGTCTCCAATGCCGCTGTTACCAGTTCGCCAGCGGTCCCACCGCCCACCGTCCACCGTCCACCGTTCACCGTTCACCGTCCACCGTTCACCATCCTCCATCCACCATCCACCGTCCACCGTTCACCGTTAACCGTCCACCGTCCACCATCCTCCATCCACCGTCCACCGTCCACCGTCCACCGTTCACCGTCCACAGTCCGCTGTCCGCCTTCCCCGTCCCACCGCCCAGTGCCCACCACCCACCGGATAGTGTCTCCATTGAAGTCGTTGACGCGATATGCGCCCCCGGCAGTCCACGCCGACAGCTGTGAGGAAGCACAGTCGACTGCGCGCGCACCACTTTCCCCTGTCTGCCGGCACTGCGAGTTCACAACACTCATTTACAGACACACACACACATTGCCTATGAACTTTCGCTCGTCAACGTGAAATGATCTCTTTTTATTGTTTTAGTTAGGTAATTTGAAAGAGTTAAATGTTAACTGTGATTTAACTGGCCCCATTAAACTAGCATTACAGTTCACCGGGAATCGCGTGTTAGCAGATCCATTAGGAACCTATATCAAGTTAGCATTTTCCTTTGACTGCCACCTTGATCAGCTAGTGTCGTGTTCACAACCAACACACAACAACCATCAACTCCACAACCGGCGTCAATTAACTCGCTAACACGGCACGTTGCGTTACACAAACTCCTGGCATTACCGCAGGTGAAACACCACCCAGACTGACGATCGCCGTGCCGTGGCGTGAGCGCTATACACGCATGCTGACTATCGGTCGGTCCATGTTTGCTCCCTGTATGGCCCTCTCACAAAGGAGCCATTAGCGGCATATATGCTGAGCGGTCTCTGGTCAAAGCGTGGGCGCATTGACGTCGATGCCCTTGGGTGGTCAAGCGCTGCTCGCGAAAGCTTTCCTTGAGGGACGTAATGCGATGCCTGAGTAAGAAACGCTTGATGATGTGTTTCGAGTTTTTCCTGTTGAATCTGGCCACACGCAACAACCCGCTACAATTTTCTGCTGATTTCGTTGACACTGATTCGATCAGTTGGGGAAGTGGCCTTAGCTGGACAGCTCGCTCCCAAAGAGAGTTAGTCGCTCCCGCGTCGCTTCAGTGGAGTGGCGGTGATCGGGTCACGTCCAATCCTTCCGAGCTCCTCACTGAAGTCGTCTGATTACCCCTCCCCGCCACCCCTCTCACCCAATCACCGTTCCCCGGCAGCAGCGGAGGCGTCCTCCTTCTCCCGTATCGTGTTCGGCGTATGTCTATCAGAGACCGTTTGTCATGACAACGTCACCTCCGAAAATGGCCGCACCAGATAAACAATGCTGACGGAGCGAATGTCTGATGACAGTGGTATCCGGCCGCGTCCGAATACCGGCATCGTTCATTTCCATAATGGGTGATTGTACTCGCCATGCACTGCGCTCCCAATATCTGGTGCGGACATTTCGCCAAATGCGGCGGCACTTGCCTCGCCTCTGGGCAGGGAAGATGACACCACGGCTGTAAATGGGATATGGAGGGCTGCTATTTATCAAATAAGCGCGTGATCTACATCGATGGCCGATCGGTGGCATGGGTGTCTGTGTATGAACGTGTCTGGTTTATGGCAGGAGAATGGCAGAGCCAGGGACAGTATTACCATCTACTCAACGCCGACTCTGGCTAAGCTGGCACAGACGCAACAGGCAAGGACCCTTCAGCTTCTCTTTCTGTCCACTTATCTGTCTGTCCATCCGCTTTATTGCTTTCCTTTTTGTGTTTGTTTGCTGCTCATATCGATTATCTGTCTACTCTTCTATCGATATAATTATTGACATCTTGAGTGGTACTATAGCCAACTGACACTACTGTTTCTATTTCTTGGCTCGACGCATTTTTCTCTTTACCAGCTTAGTCGGTCTTACTTGGCCCATACATTTTACAATCTATGTATGTGTATAAACGTATGTATAAACGTATGTAAACGTATGTGTAACCGCATATACAAACGTATGTATGTATAATGCAAAAACGTGCATGATAATGCATTTTTGGTTCACTGTTCGTGCTGAATGTTTTTCAAAACGTTGTAAGAACACAATGTGCTAGTGCATTAGAAAAAAAGTAAACATAACAAGTTTAGCCTGCTGAGTGATGACCCTCGTCAGAGTAAAGCGTGTCGGCTCGAAAATCGAGTCACTCTAACAAAGGGACGCGTAAATCTAACTTGAAAATACCACGTTTCAAATTGGTAATGCTCGATATTCGTAAGTTTATATCTGTTACAGGCAAAGTGAAAACTCGGGCATTTTGCAAAATGCCTAGGCAATTTGCAAAATGCCTGACCGGCTAGGCATTTTGCAAAATGCCCAGGCAATTTGCAAAATGCCTGACCGGCCAGGCATTTTGCGAAATGCCTAGGCAATTTGCAAACTGCCTGACCCACCAGGCATTTTGCAAACTGCCTAGGCAGTTTACAAAATGCCTGGCGGGTCAGGCATTTTGCAAAATGCCTGAGTTGTGATTGATTTATTTTACCGTTTTTGTTTACCACAGGCGTTGACCACGTCGTTCCCATGTGCCTGAGCCCCAAGCACATTCAATATTTACGAATATACCCACGTCTTCCGCCACTTCCGTCGAGATGGAGCCACTACTGAATGGACTGTGTAGATTGAGCCAACGTCTCCCTATACTTTTCGTATACGGAGTTGTAGCCGTGCGTGTGTACGAATGCTGTGATGGGGCGCGGAGCAGGGCACAGAAAAAAAACATGGGCGCGGAAAAACGCGGCGACCGGCCGAATATTGACCCGACATTCTTTGCTTCCCGTGCTTACTTACATCACGGCAACAGAGGGCCGCAGTGACACGGGGTTGCCAGCTCGATCGATAGAACAGATACATCGTATCCAATAAGCATTTTTGTTAATCACGTGTCACGTGGAAAGAAATAGTCTATATCTTGAGAAATCAGCCATTTTTGGTACATTTCAGGAAAAACAGCATTTATAAACAATGCATTGGAATGCGACGAGATACATTCCATAGACTAAAAGAACATGTGGCTTTTCCAGAAAAGCAAGTTTTTGGTCATCCACGACCCACGTGCACACCTTTATAATAAAAAGACGCTTAGAAATAACAAGTTTTACATTCAACGGACATGTTCATCTTTACACAGTCACAATGCATTGATAATGTAGGCGTGTGGCCCGCCAATCAAACTACCATACATCGAAAGAACATTCTTTTCTGATCAGATCTACCCAAAGTATTTCCAGAGTCATCAAGGCTCTTAGAAACATTACCATGTTTAAAGGGACCCTCCCACCTTCAAAAAAGTTAATGAATTGGCAAGAAAGTGATGTCGCTCGGTTCAGAAAGAGCGAAAACGAATATATACCAAATTTCATCGAAAAATATTCACTGGTTTTCAAGATATTAGACTTTTACGATTGTTTACTTTTTGGGACCTCCGCTGTTCCTAGCGGTTCCTAGCGACTTTATTTGATAGTGCGGCATTTGTTGCGCGCAAAGCAGCATATACCACCGCGTGCTACAAAACGCATTAGTCAAACATTTAAAAATCGTTAGATTTCTGCGCTGACGTCACACATTCAGAGGGATATTCCTATGCATTAGCCCCTCTGAATCAAAATGCTGCAATTTTGAAATTCAATATTTCCGATTGGATGTTGTTAGTGCCGAAACAGGTAATTGTGAGCCAGGGACCCCATTTTGACTATCTCAACTCAAACCTAATGTTAAGGTGGGAGGGTCCCTTTAAAGGGACCCTCCCACCTTAACATTAGATTTGAGTTGAGATAGCCAAAATGGGGTCCCTGGCTCACAATTACCGGTTTCGGCACTCACAACATCGAGAAATGCCTTAAATCGGAAATATTGAATTTCAAAATTGTAGCATTTTGATTCAGAGGGGCTAATGCATAGGAATACCCCTCTGAATGTGTGACGTCAGCGCAGATATCTAACGATTTTTAAACGTTTGACTAAAACGTTTTGTAGCACGCGGTGGTATATGCTGCGTTGCGCGCAACAAATGCCGCACTTTTAAATAAAGTCGCTAGGAACAGCGGAGATCCCAAAAAGTAAACAAAAGTAAAAGTCTAATATCTTGAAAACCGGTGAGCATTTTTCGATGAAATTTGGTAGATATTCGTTTTCGCTCTTTCTGAACCGAGCGACATCACTTTAATGACAATTCATAAACTTTTTTGAAGGTGGGAGGGTCCCTTTAACGCGTGTTTACCGATAAAACCGCGCCGGGCGCCCGGCAGCCGGCGCGGCGGTCGGGCCGCTGCCTGGGGCTCAGTGACCCTGAACTCGGCAGCGCTACCCGGAGAATGTCTCACTGTGTGTCCTCCCACTTGGTGCGTATCGCTTGTGATTAGCCCCTGTAAGCGGCATTTACAATAATGCTTACGCATCGTCGCTGGTGTGAGTTCGATGTCAGGCATTTTGCAAACTGCCTGAGAAAATAATTTCAGGCAGTTTGCAAAATGCCTGGTGGGCCAGGCAGTTTGCAAACTGCCTAGGCATTTTGCAAAATGCCTGGCCGGTCAGGCATTTTGCAAATTGCCTGGGCATTTTGCAAAATGCCCAGCCGGTCAGGCATTTTGCAAATTGCCTAGGCATTTTGCAAAATGCCCGAGTTTTCACTTTGCCTGTAACATATCTACTGTACGGAACCTCTAAATGGAGCAGCTCATTACGGTGTTCGCTCTTACACTCTACGAACATTAACATTCAATCAATGTTATGTAGCATCGCGAGAACTATATTTCCAAAGAAGCATTTTTATATGATGATAAAGTATGTGATTAATATTCCATAGTGGCTAAAAAGTCGATATCGATGAATGACAGGATGTCCCTTGGCATTAATCGAGTGTCATATACGAAAACAGACTTGGTTCCGGTGCCCATCATGGCATTAGCATGATTGCCTACTCCCGTGAAAATTAGTTCAAGAAAAATGGAATAAGGGCTTCGTAAGGTTACCAACGGAGAGGAAAAGCTACGCCAGGGCACTAAACAGCTAGGCATACATTTATATTATCATTCATATCACTGCATTATTTTTTAGGCTCAAATATCCCTTCAATTCTTGCACAATGCACAATGCACATTGCACGATCCACCTAAGCCCCAACTGACCAATGTCTGACCTGTATTCTCTCTCACCCGACATACCAACAGCCGGCGAAGGCAGCCACTCCGCTCACACCGTCCATCTCAAACGGAATCCACAACGGCGCGAACTCCAGCCGAACTCAGGCGGGCGTAGAGACGGAATCATTGGACTCCTTTACTCTGGAGCACCCGCCGCCGGCCGCGCCCAAGCCTCCTCCTACCTACTTCGACGGAGCGCCGCGAAAACGGGACGTGCTCGTGTCGATTGGCTCGTACGGGGACAGCCGGCCGGCTCCGTCCCGTCTGCAGTTCCTCGGCAGCCAGAAAGGAGGTGAGAATTGACGGGAGACGCCGGTAGTCTGAGCTATTTACGTGATGTGTAAATGCAGACGAGGCTAAATTCGTCGTAGAGACGAGGCTAAGTAAGGCTTTCCAGGGATGTTTCTCTATTTTGAAAGCGGGATTCTCGGCTACTGCAGATACGCTGTGATGTTTTATTCAACAGCGCTCTGGCTGGACTTAGCTCTGTTCCGTCAGCGTGTTTGTGCGTTTTTCTCTAACTTTGGCATGCGGAAAAGGCTTGTCAAGCTTAATACGAAAAGCTTGTAGTATCTGTCCATCTACACGGTGAAGATGAGAAGGCCGTTACATTTCGCATATCCGCCCCGCCGAATCATGCCCGGGGAATGTGACATACTGCGTAAAAGTTTGTGCTTGATTTGAAAAGACAGTATTGTGCTGTCATTTTGCAAAACTGATAACTAACTGTGATAAGACTTTTTATGTGATCTGCCATTGTATGGCAATTAATCTACAGGAGATAGGTAGATTCAGCTCTCTGTCTGAACCTGCACACATGCGATGTATGCGAGATATGTAATGTCCACACGTCATTGAACCATGTCAAGAATGCTAACATTTGCGTAATGTCAGCCTGACGACCGCCTTACGCACATGTTCAGTGTTAACTTCTGTGTGCCTGCCTCTCGTTTAACACTATCGTATAAAGTACTTACGATTTCGAACACATCCTCACCGTCTCGCCAACGCCCATTTTTAGCATATCTTTGTCCGTCTATTGTCTAACGCCGATGATTCTAACGTTCGTGTAAGACCCTTATAACGAATGCCCATCTCCATTGACTGCCTGATTGAACTATTAACCCGCGCCCTGCTGGGGGGGTGTTTGAACACCCCCCCTTGTGGTTTTTCGCGAATATCTCAAAAACGGCGGCGCGGAGCGCCGCCGTTTTTGGTACACCTTATTATACATCAATTCTACACATGTTGTGAAAATTTCAGACCAAGGTCATTCAAGGTCAGGTCACCAGGTCACTTGAAGTGACCTCACCTCATAAAAAGTTTCAATGTCTGTCATAGCTACACCGAGTGACCGATCGTTTTGAAACTTTCAGCGATTGCTAAGAGCAATAGCATGTACAAAATGTGTATCTCAGAATTTTGATATCGATGACCTAAGGTCAGGTCAATTTTGCGACCTCCCCATTATAAGTCAATGGGAGAAAATAGAAATGCGCCTCTTTTGGACGAAAGACATTATAAACACTCCCAAACACCGAATTACAAGTGGTTTAGACACACTGAACATGAAAATGGTGTCCGTGACCCTTGTTTATGCCCTGAGGTCATCTTAGGTCACGAATGGTATCAACAGTTTTTCGCAAATAACTTTTGATAGAGGCATGCTAGAGCGATGAAAACGCCTTAGATGTGTTCAGCTCGACGATACGGATCGACTGATATGCAACATGACCCTTTCCGGTCAGGTCATGACCTTGACCTGAGGTCAAATTTTCAAGTTGAACTTTCAAGGTCAAGTTATAGTTCATTCGATGCGTCTTGACGAGAGGAACACGATGCCGGTAAAAGTAAGCTCGTACAGGGCTTGGGTTAAAAGTTATTGCAGAAAAACTGTTTCCGAAAAAATCGGCTATTTTTGCAGTTTTTGCCCCCTGCAGGCAAAACCGTTGACGTTAGGTCAAATCTGAGAGAATTACTCAGAAAGGGTGTTAATAGGGCTATCGAATGCGCTTTTCCGCGGCGCTGTAGCTCTATTGGTTCCCGAGTTATGCATTGGCTTCTTGGAAATTTTCGACATTCGACCTGGAAATCGGCGAAATTTTGCCTTCAATGACCTCTGGTGACCTGACCTTTGACCTGACCAAAAAAATGACCGAAGTGATTTCGTCATTATTTTTGACGCTCTTTCGAACGCCGCCTTCCGCGTATCGCTACGTGGCCCAGGAGCCGAGTTACAAGGGGGGGGGTGTTCAAACACCCCCCCCCCCCAGCAGGGCGTGGAAATCCAGGAACCCTAGCCGGGCGCGGGTTAAAGTCCTCTGGTTGAATCCACTGATTGAACCACTGATTCCACTGAGTCAATGACTCCACTGATTGAACGATTAAGGTTCTCTGGTCTTCGTCTAACGTCCGTTTAACTCCGGTTCCATGTCTGTTAAATTTTGTCGAAATTCCGCCTATCGTCCGTTATTGCTCCCTTCTAACGGCCGTCTGACGCCCTGGCCGTCTGACGCCCTCCCCTCCCTCGACAGCCGAAGACTCCAACGGCAGCAAGTTCGAGGAGGTGACCACCCAGCTGCAGCACGAGCTGGTGCAGACGCTGTCGCGCTCCAACCTCCGTCATCGGACCGGCTCCATGGACAACCTCCTCTCCGACGGTGGCGCCAGCACGCGGCGCACCGTCACAGACAAATACGGCAGCGTTCTCAACATCAGCGACAGTGGCGCCGATTCCGGCCCTGGCGGCGGAATTCTAAAGAATGGTACGGCACGGAGCTCCAGCAAGTCCATTTCGTTCGGAAAAACGTGAGGCAGATAATTTCGTTTGTCCGCATGTGGTAGGCTAGGTGTGCATCTGGCTCTGCACCGGCACGCACCTCTGTGGAGCACTGGATGAAAGCTGCGGCACCTGCACTTCGCAACAGCTGCAGGCTATTTGTGATATAGTCTACATTGTTCGAGAGCATTGATGATATGCATAGGGTAGCCTGGGGCAAGACGCCCCAGATAATTTATTTTGCTACATAACTTTTGTCCTACATCACCTGGAAGGCCAAATTTGTGCTCAATGCGTTCTTTGGACATTTTACTTTAAATTCCACCCCTCAAATTCATTCACTCATGATCGGACTCCAAGCTAGGAAGTGATTTGTGAAGCAACTGCAAATGGGGCATTTTGCCCCAACCCCAGGGCAAAACGCCCCACGGCCCGGGGCAAGAAGCCCCATACTCTAGATTAAAGATTAAACATGCTAGTTGACCAAATCTTATGTGAGAGGTCCGTTAGACCTTGGGAGGCACGGCACTGAAGTTAGCACCTTCCATCCTATCAGGTGTTCAGCTATGACACTATTGTATGAGCAGGTTTTTCACCTGCCTCATAAGGCCAAATAATAAATTATTGCCATGCAACTGTCAACCAAATACTTCCTTTGCCACCCGGTTGCTGAGAAAACTACACATAAATGCATAGAAACTTACTGTTTGCCAGCTACCGAACATTAGGAAATGGGTAGTACGAACAACACATGAGGCAAAACGCCCCATGGGGCTTTTTGCCCCGCGACCTACTGGGGCGTTTTACCCCATCACGTAGTTCGGTCAGAAAACAACGCCTTGCACTCCAGCAAGACATAATTTAACACGAACCAACCCGGCATTATAAGCGTTAGATAATAGTTGTTCAAAATACATAAAAGTCGTTAACCTGATGTGGACCATAAAAGAACGCCATGATGCATAACCTGACAACAAAACATAAAAATCGCTCCCAAAACACATTTTTGGCTATATCTCCCTAAGCAGTCATCACAATTTCTTTCCAGTCTGGTCATATAATGATCATATAGTGCACGTTTTATAGAAGAGAGAATATTTCCCCAGATCCTTGCCAGTTCCGAGAAACATCGGTGAGGCGTTTTACCTCGGCGGGGCGACTTGCCCCGGTCTACCCTACCTACTTTTGGCTGGAGTCAGAAAGTGGAATCGAATTCTTAGAATGCATTTTCAACCTCAGAATAATTATGCTAATACGATTTTATGTCCATGTAGCTCTTGAGCAGAACGGTGATATGGTTTATGGTTTTATTTGGCTGATTAGGAGTTAACGGTGCTAACCGATGAAAATGCTTGATCATGGTTACATGGCCGAGCATGGCTCGCACCTTGTATGCCTCCAAGCACTTTGCACATAGACACCTGCATTTATATTTGACTGGTCACTTCACAAAATATTTTCATGCTGAGTAAAAATAGCAGTCTTCTGCTGTCTCGCTGTTAATCTCACTCGCATTGTACGAACAATCAAACTGGCTGGAACACTGCACCTTGTTTGCACAGGTTTGAGCCTCTAAACTACGTCATTCAAGGTCAATAGTTGGAGTGAATCACTAAGCCTTTACATCGGCTTAGTCGTGGTGACGAAACCATAATAACAGATCCCGTTTCAGGGTGTTGGCGTTTCCGCCGCTGCTTAATTTTTCAATGAAATACAAATACAATGTATTTGCAATATGCTGAATACGAAAGGTTCCGTGAAAAATATTCCTATTAAAAAGTTTAAAGCTTACACAATGGTAGGTTTATTCTTGTTATGTCTTTGAAATATCTTTTTGTCTTGCTCGTAACACATTATCCGTATCGCTGCCTCTGACGCAATGTAATCAGCGCCCCATTTCCATGTAAATATATTGTTAGGCAGGCTCAGTGCTCATCCACACTAATACCGGCACGATGGGGATGAGTCAGCCTTGTTACCACCCTCCCCTCCCCTGCCCTACACCTCCCCTCAGCTCACCCCACCTTGCCTGGTGGTCTGGCGGACGTGCGCTACCAGACACCCCTCATCCGACACTTGTGCCACCTGACACCCGTCTCCCTCCCCAGGACAATGATCGGCGACGTGCCAGTGACAGTGCTCTGATCGACTGGCACCGTCGCCGCTCCACACAAGTCGTCCGAGTCGGGACGTAATCGGACCTCGAGATCGCGACATCCGACGGAGACATGCGATACCACGCACGCTTAGGCGGCGTTCCAGACATCTGGCTTAGCCCAGCGACTTAGCTAGACTTCCCACCGGACAGAGATGCTACAGCTGTAGACACGATGCGGCTCCGAGCCCAAATCAGTGCTATCTAGCAAATTTCTGGACTCGTGTCTAATCTACACCGGGATCTGAGTGTCGCCGTTTCGCGTTTGACCGTCTGTTTGAGCACGAGTAACTTTCGGGTGTAATTAGTTTGCGTCGGATCGACCCCGTGATGACTTTTGCTGTCTAAGTGGACCGTAACAGCACCAAACGACCTCCAGCGGAATCGGACGCTCCTCAGTGCTTGTCGGTGCGCGACCAATCAGACCCCAGACTGGTCAGACTGCGGAACTCAGTGTCAAACTTCAGATACAGACTAGTCGGGACTGTGAAGCTTTCTATCGATCGGAGATTAGAAAGGGCCGTGCGACTCCCAGTTGTCCGAACTCCAAGTGCTAGTCGGGACCGCTAGAATCAGTGTCGGACTCTGGACTAGTGATAATTGTAAGACTTTTGGTTATTTGTCTGCAGGCTAGTAGAAAATGCTGAATTCTCGGTCGTCCGTCGCTCCGTCGCTGTTGAGTGGCGCAGGCACCTGGTGCTGAAACCGTGCGAGTGGTTCCAAGAAACCAAGAGGTTCGATGATGTGGGTGCGTCGTATGCTGAACTTTTTATTTCATTGTGTATTTCCTGTCATCTGAGCCTTCAATCCATGCTGTTAAACTCCAGCTCTGCGAACGGCCCATGCAAGCCGTTCTTGAAGTGTCTGGTGCAGAAATTGGATGTCGGTGGCATGCATAATGCTGCTATCGCCACTGCGAAAGGTACGGCGTATACGTGTACAATTGGAGGCGTTAGGACACGAATTCTATTCGTGTTATGCTCCGATAAAGTTTTTTTTTTAGAGCAGGAGTTTGTTTCAGACATTTTAATTAGATGTATCTGTGTTTGCTTTGTGTATATATTGTAAGAGTTTCAAATATATGAGCATGTATATTGGAGAACGTTTTTGTACCATTCAAAAAGGTAACAAGTCTTTTATTATAGGTATTCACTCAGTAGGCCAGTCAGGGTGTCAGTGACTTCTTTGTGTGCAGATACACATAAAACATTTGGTGCACGGTAGAACTGATCATTTTACATTGGAAGTGACAATGGAACGGCTCAGTTTCCATTTCTGTTTTAGCATTGATATGGTTATACATTATGCATCAATTGCTAGAAACGCCATTTGACAGTCGAAATAGCATTACACATTGTGCTTAGGAAGTATTTCATTCCCAACGATCATAATAAGGAACGTGGAAAAGATGTATGTGAAGGAGACAAATGAATACGGGCTGGTTTTTCCATATCATGCCTCGTGCATGCCTTTCTTGCATGATTTGTCCTGAATGGCAGTGGCGATCCTCATCATAACGTGATCACATGTTACCTATTTTGGCAAATGTCATGTAGCACTGTGCTAAACTTGAATGTTCTCACACTGTTGCGCCTTATAAGGCATGGTGGAGCATATCAAGCCTCACCATGCCGTGCCATACTGTGCTATACATAGTTACTGTTCCATATCACGCCATTCCGTGTTTTGTCCTGCTATGCCATACTATGCTTATGAGTTATGACCATATCACGCTGTTTTGAGTCAAGCCGTGCTTAACCATGCCACACCATTCCGTGTTGTGCCGTGTTATGCTCAGATGTCACGTCACTTCGTGCCATACCGTGCTGTAAAGTGTAAGTACTTGACCATGTCACGCATTATGTGCCATGCCATACTTAATTTAACCAGGTCAGTGAATAGTCACGCCATTCCGTGCCATTCCGTGCTATATGCACTTAACCATGTCACGCCAGGCGGTGCCACTCTGTACCACGCTGTGCCCTGGCGCACCGCGCGACGTCTGCAGCCGTAGACAATGAGCGAGCGACGAATAATGGAGCTTGGACGCCCTGTCGATACTGCATCGCTCCCTGTCAGGGCATCATTACAGACGGAAGGGACGCAGCGGGGCAAATGGACAGTTCTTTTGCCCCGCGCGGCTCTGGCACCGCCGCCCGCCCGCCGACCGTCGCCGCTTGCAGGGGTGGTTTTGATATCGGTATGCACTAGCACAATCAGAGGCTTTTTTGGTGGATGGTCGGTCGGCCACCGGTCCGTCGCTAACACAATTAGGCGTCTCGCTAGTCGCGGTTCGTTATTGTTGATGCGATGTGTATGCGGAGAGAGCCCACTGAACGCTACGAGACGCATGGATAGACAACGGACTGCCATTGGATATGGAAGCCCCGCGGCGGACGGTGGGACCGAGAAAAAATATCGAGCCAGCGTGGTCGGAAAAAATGTCGCAATTCTTACGTTCGAGGAAAGATAGAGCACAACAGAAAACAAAGAAAACATAAATGAGTGAGTAATACAGCAAACTTTCTTACCTATATTGCTATAGAACACATCCAAAATAAATCAATGACTCTCATCTCATCCGACTTCACATACAGGCTGTCAGAATGTTTGAGCATCAACAAAGGACCCAAAAAGAAGCGATGTCTGCATTCATGGCGATATTAACATTCTGAGTGATCGAAGCAGAACCACGGATGGGCCGATGGCAGGCCGGATCCACCGACCGGAAATGTTGCCATGGAAACGAATCGCAGCGCACTTCCGGCCTTCCATGAAGATCGGGCATCTCGCCAGTCGCCAGTGCCTCACTACTGTCAGTTTGTTTAACACGCGCACTGCAGGGGGGGGTTGTTTTCAACCCCCTGTGGTTTTTCGCAAATCGCGAAAAAACGGCGGCGCGCAGCGCCGCCAAATGTTGCATACCTGTTCTCCCAGCTTTTGCACACCTTGAGTAAAAATTTTGACCCCAGGTGACCTATGGTCAGGTCACCAGATCAGGTCAAGTGACCCTACCTCGAAACGTCAATTTCGAAGTTTGCAATCCCACCAAGCCCACAGTTGTTGAGATATGATCTTGAAACCCACAGGAAATAGTAAAGTCATCACGAGCTACAACTTGTATATCTCGGAATTTTTATATCGATGACCTAAGGTCAGGTCACTTTTGCGACCGGCCCATTATAAGTCAATGGGAGAAATTTCAACTTACTCTGAATGCCATCCTGTGACTTCAATACGCTCAGAATCATAATATTACGGGTCCCTGTTGGTGATTTCACCGAAACATATCACTTATGACCTTTGGAAGGTGATCTCCAGGTCATCTTAGGTCACCTGAGGTCACCAGCGGTTTTTCTTCAATAACTTGAGATTGAATAGAGATAGAGACTCCGTTCGACGTTTATCGTGTTTTTCTCGTCAATGCAGATCGAATGATATGCAACATGACCTATTTCGGTCAGGTCATGACCTTGACCTGAGGTCAAATTTTCAACTTGACCTTTCGAGGTCATATTATATATCATTCGATGCGCCTTGACGAGCTAAGAACGATGGCTTTCGAATCGATCCTCTATCTTGTGTGCAAGACAAGTTATTCAAGAAAAACTACCGCGAAATTCCTGTTGTGAAAATCGTAACATTTTGTCTTCGGTGACCTCTGGTGACCTCGTTTTTGACCTGAGACAAAAATGACCCAGTAATTCCTCTAAATAACATCTCCACCTATCTAACGCCGTTTACCGTTTGTCGCTACGTTGCGCCGTTTTCGAGATCTCCGGGGGGTTGTTTTCAACCCCCCCCCCTGCAGTTCGTGTTCGGCTCAGACCCGCTGCAGTGCGCGTGTTAACAGGGAATATGTTTGAAACCCAGTTCAAAATTTGTTGTTTGATGGTATAATAAATAGGCAATCACTGTGTATACTTGTATATGTATATTCATCATTAGGTACATACATTGGGCAGTAATCGCCACGCCATGTGTGGATCGCCCACGAGCGTAAATACATACATACATACATACATACATACATACATACATACATACATACATACATACATACATACATACATGCATACATACATACATACATACATACATACATACATGCATACATACATACATACATACATACATACATACATACATACATACATACATACATATATACATACATACATACATACATACATACATACATACATACATACATACATACATACATACATACATACATAGGGGAGAGTGGGGTAAGATGCCCAGGGTGGGAAAGACGCCCCACCCCCTCTAGCGACGAAACAAAGAATCGGACCTGGAAATTAATGTTCTTAGCGTAAAGCGGAAGCCTGCCTTGTTAACGGCACCAAAAATTGCGAAGCTCAGTTGGGCAACGGCTGGCTGATGACTGCATGTTTTTTATTTGCTGCTTTCAAAAAATATTTTGGTGTCAGAACATTGTAAATATCAAAGAAGGTAAATAATTTTTGCGTCCCTTGCTATAGTCGTGATACATTAGCATGCGTGTACTGTGTCCCAAACAGTTTGTTTCATGTTGTAGTTTTATGGCTAACAAATTGTACTGATTTAATGTTACTTCGGTACCTTGGGGTAAGATGCCCCCTGTCCTGATGGGGAAAGACGCCCCCCCCCCTAAATCCGTAGGCTGTCCTTCAAACAGCCCGTCAAATCATTTATTACATACTTGTGATGTAGACAAAAGCCGATCTGGGACTATTGAGAGTCCAGTACGGTCGGGTGCTCCCCATGCCGGTCTCTCGGCCCACATAGCGACTTTTTGGGCGGCATCTGACTCTGAGAGCCCTCACGACGGCCTCTGTGGGCCCAATTATTGGCTCCAGGGCCCATCACGACATCCTTTGATGGCTCCCACGTTGGCCCCACGGGCCGCACTGGCATCGGAGGTCCCCACGATGGACTCGAGGGCCCTCAAGCATCATGAAGACCTATAAGAGCCCCACAGTGGTCTCCGAACGCCACCACGGAGGCTTGTTTGGCCGCGCTGGACTATGATGGCCCTAACGATGACCTCTGAAGCCCCTTACGACTACTTTTGAGGGCCCTTATGATGACGTTTGGTGTCTACTGCAGGCTCGAAGGGACTACTGATTCGTTCAGGCGATTCACGTGCCCATTTATGTCACTTATAGTGCAGGGAGCATCTTTCCCAACGTCAGGGGGCGTCTTTCCCACCCTGTGGGGTAAGATGCCCCCTTTCACTTCTTCAGGAAAATGCTTGATAGCAAAAAAGGTAATAATATTTCAGGCACGAAAGTGTGATATTTTTGGAGAAAAATGATGTCGGCTTCCGTTGAAACTCCAAGTTTTTGCTTTCCCATCGTCATTTTCGAATAATATATGACATAGTAAAACCCTGGGCATCTTTCCCCACTCTCCCCTACTTGACTTCCATAATCCAATATCAACGGTGAAGTGTCAACCTGACAGTTGCCTTTAAAGTATCAAGAATGCAATACTTCCTACTGCTTATAGAAAACTGCGTCATTTAACCCGCGCCCCACTGGGGTCTGTGTATAACACGCCCTACTGGGGGGGGGGGGGGGGGCTATTCATAGCCCCCCCTCCTAACTCCGAAACTACTGGACCGATCGTCAAAATTCAAACGGCGTCTGATAGCCCCGGAAAAACTGTCGAGCGAAACCTAATTTCATTGACCTCGAGGTCACCGATGACGTCACAGGTCAGGTCAAAGTAAAAATTATTAGCATTTTGGCTTGTTCACATTTTGGGCTCTGGCCGCCGTCTTACAAGTCAGATCAGGCTCATTTTTGGTTTCCACACTCGTGAAGAGATGCTCTAGATACTTTGAGGGTACCAAACTTGTACTTTGATTTTCAGGTCAGGGTCAG